TGCGTTTATCCCTTAAATATTGGTAAAATGTATGCTGGTTACAATCTTTGCCTACAATAACTATTATATCCAAAGTTAACTGTCATTGTAGAAATTCAATTAATATGAGTGCTTTGATGAGCAGGACAAACAAAGCATGGGTCTGTCCCATGTTTACGGCCTCCTTATAGATTTTGAGAATTTTTTTTTAAGAGCGTGTCTATTATTTTATCAACACTATTTTCTCATTACTGTTTTTCTTCATATGAATGCCTCAGTTTAAAACATTTCTTTTGCTAATTTTTCATTAATATTTAATTTGAATGATAAATTATACTTTTGTTTCAATACCCAAAGAAGACATCTGTTTTCCTTAGCTAGCAAACTTCAAGGTTGAAAGGCTGAGAAATTATCAGCATATAATTTATTCCATTTGTAGCATCTTTCCCCCTTTGTACTGGCAAATCAGGCCCTTGATTGTGGGGATCATACTGATGTCACACACTTTGATAACAGAATTCTCCAAGAATATAGGCAGATTTATTTATTTCCCACCTTTATCATTTTTTACAAACAAGGCAGCAAACACATTCAACACATCTTTCTCCTCCTATTTTGGTTTAAGATATTATTAAAAACATTGGATGTGATGTAATCATCCCGACAATCCTGGTTGTCACATAAATTATGGTATAAGACACATACTATCAGAATAGGCAAAGAAAGACAGATGAAACCATAGGGCATTGTCTGACAGGTGAATCCATATTTCTAAGATAGAAAATACACGAATCATATATTAACTACAATGTGAAAAAATATAGAATAACCATAAAATGAGTGATTAGCAAAATCATAGGAAATTTTAGAGCCAAGTAGTATTAATCAAGAGTAGTCAGGCAAAGGCTCTATAATGGAAATGAGGTTAGAGAAAGATTGTACTTAAACTTTTAGGGAATAAAATGACAAAAACATTTGGAAAAAAAATGTATTGAAGAACTGTCTCCATTAAAAATTGAAGTATGACAGGCTGTCAAATAGCAAATCTCCAAGAACAGATAAAATAGCAACTGAATTGCTGGGAGAGAAAGAAGCCATGAAAGTGTTAACAGCTCTATATTCAAAAATATAGAAGACAACCAGTGTGATGTAGTGGTTAAGGTTATGTGGTTGGCCTAGCAACCTACAGTAAAAACCTCTTTTAGACATGCAATGGATGCATGGATGACTTTGGGCCAGCCCCTCTCTCTCAGTCCTGCCAATTTCACAGGGTTGTTGTTCTTGGGAAAGGAGGAGGAAAAAGGAGTATTAGGTGCATCCACCTCGAGTTGACCCTAAATATAGCGGGTAAAAAAAAAAAAAAAAAGACCGTGTGATGCAAAAAACCAGAAGAGTTTGATGAGAATGCTTTTATTATACTGTACACCTAGACATCTTATACCTGAGCTTTAAAAGAGAGACTCGTCATATATTAGGAGCCACAGATTTAGTTAGAATAGATGGATTGAGATGGAAGGGACCTTGGAGGTCTTCTAGTCCAGCCCCCTGCTCAAGCAGGACAACATATAGCATTTCTGATAAGTGACTGTCTAGTGTCTAGACCTGGGGTGTCAAACTCGCATTGTCACAGCAGCAACAAGTGACGTATCGTGACTTTCCCCCCCTTCACTAAACTGGGCATGGGCATGGCCAGCGCATGACACATCCGTCCCAAGGGCCAGAAGTTTGATAGCCCTGGTGTAGACTCTTCTTAAAAACATCCAGTGATGGAGCACCCATGGTTTCTGGAGGCAAGCTGTTCCACTGGTTAATTGTCCTATTAGGTTTCTCCTTAACTCTAGGTTGCTTCTCTTTGATTAGTTTCTAACCATTGTTTTTTGTCCTGCCCTCTGGCGCTTTGGAGAATAATTTGACCCCCTTTCCTTTGTGGAAGCCCCTCAAGCACTGGAATACTATCATGTCACCCCTAGTCCTACTTTTCTTTAAGACTAGCCAAAACCAAAGCCTGGTTATTTATTTATTTATTTATTTAGTCAGTCAAAAGCTTACAATAGAAATAAGAATAAACATAGTTTAAATGTAAGAAATAGTAACTAATAATTGGGACAATAGGACAGGGATGGTAGGCACGATGGTGCTCTTATGCGCGCCCCTTTACAGACCTCTTAGGAATGGGGTGAGGTCAATAGAGGTTAGTTTGAGGGGAAAGGAGTGGGGGTTTGAGCAGGTGACAACAGAATCAGATAGTGAGTTCCAGACATTGACCACCCTGTTGCTAAAATCGTATTTCCTGCAATCAAGTCTGGAGTGCTTTATGGGTCATCAAACTTAAGAGTCATCAAACTATATGTTCCAACAACAACTCCCAAAACAAAACAAAAAAGCAGATTACCCATATCAGTAAGGAAACTTCAATCCAAAAAGAGATCACTCTGGCGGAAAAACAAATCTGGTCACGTTGCCAATTTCAAAAACCGATACAAAAATTTATGCCACCAGATAAAGACCGAATGCACCAATTATCACATTAAACTAGAGGAAAACCTTCTAAGCACCAATTCCACCCGTGCTTTTTACAATTTTGTAAACAACAAACTAAAAGACTCAAGGTCCATCCTTCCCTTGATAGGACCTGATGGTAAAGACTGCAACGACGACACCATTAAATCCAACATCTTTAACACATTCTTCAGCTCAGTATTTGTAAACACAATGGATCATGCCCAGTATTTCCTAGCCATACCACAGATAACAACAATGATCTAATACATATCGATTTCACAGAAGACAATGTTGAAAAATCACTACGCAATCTAAAACCATCTCTATCTATTGGACCGGATGGAATATGTGCCTACTTCTTAAGAAAGCTATCCACTGCCATAGCCAAACCTCTAAGCATAATCTTTGAAAAATCTTTCAGAACCAGCTCCTTGCCTAACCTATGGTCACAAGCCACAGTCATCCCCATCTTCAAAAAGGGAGACCCAAGCCTAGTTGAAAATTACAGGCCAATCTCCTTATGCTGCGTCACCTGTAAAGTCATGGAATCAATTATTAACCAATCCATTATCCTCCACTTAGAGACAAACAACCTACTCTCCAATAAACAATTTGGTTTCAGAAAAAAACTATCCTGTAATCTGCAACTCTTACACTGCAAAAACATATGGACGACACAACTCGACCAGGGCAAAGCAATAGATGCAATCTACATAGACTTCTGTAAAGCCTTTGATTCAGTGGTACACGACAAACTACTCCTAAAAATAAAATCCTATGGTATCTCTGGACAACTGAATAACTGGATAGAAGCATTCCTGGCAAACAGACAACAAATGGTCAAAATCGGGAGCGTCCTATCAAATCCAGTACCTGTCAATAGTGGTGTCCCCCAGGGCAGTGTTCTAGGACCAACTCTCTTCATACTCTACATAAATGACCTCTGCGATCATATTAAGAGCAATTGCGTTCTTTTCGCTGATGATGTAAAGCTGTTCAATACCACAGACAATACTGCTACCCTTCAAAAAGATCTCGACTATGTATCTGAATGGTCAAACAAATGGCAACTTCAAATCTCAACAAATAAATGCTCTGTCTTACATATTGGCAAAAAAAAATCAGAAAATAAAATACAAGCTGAATAGTCAAGAACTTGTTGATGACCCAAGCTCTGTAAAGGACCTTGGAATACTCATCTCTAATGATCTAAGTGCTAGAGCCCACTGCAACTACATAGCCAAAAAGGCATTAAGAGTTGTTAACCTAATCCTACGTAGCTTTTTCTCTGGTAATATCACACTACTAACCAGAGCATACAAAACATTTGCTAGACCAATACTCGAATACAGTTCATCAGTCTGGAACCCTCATTACGTATCTGATATTAGCACAATTGAGAAAGTCCAGAAATATTTCACAAGGAGAGTTCTCCACTCTTCTACTCATTGTAGAATACCTTATGCCACCAGACTTGAAATTCTAGAACTAGAAAACCTTGAATTACGCCGTCTTCGGTCTGACTTAAGCATGGTATATAAAATCATACATTGCAATGTCCTACCTGTCAATGAATACTTCAGCTTCAACCATAACAACACAAGAGCACACAATAGATACAAACTCAAAGTAAACCGCACCAAACTTGATTGCAGGAAATACGACTTCAGCAACAGAGTGGTCAACGTCTGGAATACTCTACCCGACTCTGTAGTCTCTTCCCCAAACCCCAAAAACTTTAACCTTAGACTGTCTACTATTGACCTCACCCCCTTCCTAAGAGGTCTGTAGGGGGCGTGCATAAGCGCACCAACGTGCCTACCGTCCCTGTCCTATTGTTTCTCTTATTCTTTTATTTTTCTTATATGTACCCATTTCATGTATTCACAACTATGTATACGCTTATACTTATTATCTTGTAAACAATTGGCAAATCAAATCAAATAAACAAAAAATAAAAATAAATGGGGCATCCCTTGGATCAAGCTTCCCGTACTGGGAACGAGTAAGTGGGAAGAGCCGAGGGAACCTCCTAGAACCGAAGGAAGATATCTCAAAAGCGGGAAAGCTCAAAACCCCGCAAGAGGAGCTTCCCGCTCCGTTCAGACAAAGCTGCGATCCCCTCCTCCTCCTCGAGAGTGCGACTTGAAACACGTCAGCGGGGTCTGCGCGAGCCTCCTGACGTCACCGGCGCCCTACCCACTACAACTGAACAGGAAAAGAGTTTCAATTCCCTTACAAGGTCATCAGGCGCACTCGCGCATGCGCCCCCAAGTTCTCCTTCCCATTTTAGCCACACCCCGTCTCCTGGAATGCGGCGAGCCGATCGGACTGTACCAAATCAATAATAAAATAACGGAGGGAAGTGTTGGACCAGCCACTCCTTTCCTGTCGGATTTTTGGGTTCCAGCGCGTACCTGAACATTAGAAGAAAACAAAACCTGTAGTTGCCGCCTGCCTTATTAGTAGCAGGCTATGTTTTTTTTTTTTACCGACTGCACCGTCTAATTAAAGATTTTGCTCCCACTTCCCTCCCCCTCTTGGCGCCACTGTGGTTTCTCCCGCCGTCGCGCTCTCCGGAAGTGCCGGGGCTGTTCGTTTCCTCGCTTCGAACGGCCGTTCGTCTTTTGCCGCGATCCATCGGCGCCGAATTTCTTCCGTTAAGGATCGAGGTGAGGGAAACACGGCGGCGGTTGGGCTGACGGGCGGATTCTTTGGCGAGAGGGAGCTGGAATAAAGGATGCGGAGGGGGGTGGGTGGGTGGTGGGGAGAAAGACTGGAGGTTCCCCCTGTGGTTCTCTTCTTTCCCTCCCTCCTCCTCCTCCTCTCCCTTCCCGCCCCTCCCGTTTTTCCGTTGCCGTTGTGAAGTTCGGTTACTTTTCAACGGCTGGGCAGATCTCGATGGCCGGGGTGTTCGGCGGCGAGTCCCGGGACTGGGTGGGCTGGCTGGAGAACAGGAAAAGGGGTTAGGAGCCTCACCGGTCACGGCCGATCTCCCGAAGCCTGCAAACCTCGGCCGATCTCCGGTCTGGGGCCGGGTTGTCCGGCGGAAGGCTGAGCCGTTGGTTTTACCTGGCCCCGACCGAAAGTAGGGGGGGGGAGAGGAGGGGGGCGAGAGGCAAAAGTTGAAGCCGTTTCTGAATGCTTTGAAGAGCCTGGTTGGATCTTCGCTGGGTGGATTGGCTCCCCGCCCCCCATCATCCGCAGCAGACCAGAGCTGGTTTAATTAAGGGCGATGGGAGCGATGGTAACTGGATCGGATAAAACGAGAAGCCTGGAAACATAAAGGAAGCGGGTGGGGTGGGGTGGAAGGAACCCGCGAAGGCTGCTCTTGCCTTTCGCAATTTGGTGTTGTAAGGAAACGGTTGGAGCTGACCAATCTGTCTGGAGAAGGTCCCCAAACTTGGCCACTTGAAGACTTGTGGACTTCAAGTCCCAGAATTCTCCAGCCAGCTTTGCTGGCTGGAGAATTCTGGGAGTTGAAGTCCACAAGACTTCAAGTGGCCATGTTTGGAAGCCTCTGGTCTGGAGGATGGAAATTTATGGGATAATTTCCTGAACCAAATACTTTCTGAAGTGCTTTGACTATTATTCTATTCTAATTCTTATTCTAGCTCTTATTCTAATTCTTATTCTTATTCTAATTCTATTCTATTCCTCCCCCCCCCCCCCCCCCCCCCCCCAAAAAAAAAAAAAAAAAAAAAGCAAAGCAGATTCGGTGCTGCTTGCTCTTCTGCTTGGCCGGATTTCCCAACAAACGGTATTGTGTAGTTGGTGGTTTCCTCAAACCCGTCTTGCTATGAGATGGTGCCGATTTTTCTTTTCCTATCGAAAAGCCAAACCACATCTCTTGCTTTGGGGGCCAGATCTGTCAAATGCATCCGGAAGGCCTGATTCGCAGACCCCTTGGGATGCATGGTTGAGGTGAATTTACTCCAGCTATAGTTACAGGACTCCATAGTGTAAGTATAGTAGTCGGTGGATCCAACCAAAGCATTGCATTTCAGAAAACTTCAAAAAGCCCTCAATGCAGTGCAGAACCTACAATATCAGAGGAGATCTAAGTTACACATTAATTGTTGGTTGATGACTGTCCTGCTTATTAACCATCCAAACTTACAATGGTGCTGAAACAGTAAGTTTATGACTTAAGATAGCCAGAACATCCATGGGATCACAGTTTAGGATGCTTAGCAATCAACTGTGTGAATTTATTTAATGGTTATAGCTTCCTGTTTGCAACCTGGGCAGCTGGCTTCTGACAAGCAGAGTGGGGAAACTGCAGGAAGTCGCAAGATGTGGTCATATAACATTGCGCTTAATGAGCCCAGCAGGACTGACATAAGTTGGGCTCAGTATTGCCTTTATTTTGTTAATTGGAATTTAAAAAATATTTCCCCTAATAGTCCTCTTACAGCTTCACAGGTTGGGGAGGATAACACTATAAGTCCCAGGTTCTCCTTCCAGTTTGGCAACTTGTGCTGGCTGGGAACTGTGGGATTTGCCATCCTACATCTAGCAGGCATTAGGTGGAAGAAGAAGTACTCTGTAAATTGCTACATAAATTAGTCTGTGTGGAGAACTCACGTGTGTACAGTACGCTACCATGTACAGGTAGTCCTTGACTAATGTCCCCAATTGACCCCAAAATTTATATTGCTAAATGGAATAGTTGTTGAGTGATTCCCCCCCCCCCCATTTTATGATCTTTCTTGCCACAATTAAGTGAATCATTGCAATTGTTAAGCTAGTAACATGGTTGTAAAGCAAATCTGGCTTCCCCATTGACTTTGCTTATCAGAAGGTTGCAAAAGGTGAGCTTGAGACACTGCAACTGTCATAAGTATGAGTCAATTGCCAATGTCTGAATTTTGATCTCATGAACATGGGGCACTACAACAGTCATAAATGTGAAGAATGGTCATAAGTCACTTTTCAAGGTTGTCATAACTTCAAATGGTCACTAAACAAACTATTCTGAGTTGAGCACAGCTACTTTTATAGAGGATGTTTCTCTGATCTATTCTTTTAAGGAATGAATAACTAATAACACTTGAGAATTTGATTTGTTCCAAAACGAAGACCTAAAATATGGTTTTTGTATTCAACTTGGGAACAGATACATCTTTCGCGCTCATTGTGATCGTACATGCATAGTATTTTCAAGCTCAGAAAAATGATAAAGCTGATCTGAATTAAAATTCAGAGAATTTAGCACAGGAAGATGTTTATCGTTTCTGTGAGAAAATGACTGAAAAAAATAAGTCTGGAAAACCTTGGGCTCTGAAAATGTGCTGATGGTGGTGAGGAATTTGAACTATTTTCCCAGCCCTTTTAGCTCATTCTGCTTTGCACATTCCAAAGGAAGCCATGTTAAAAAAAGATTTGCACTCTGCTAGTTTCCAGTTACAGTACTGAAATTGGCAAACCCAATTCTAAAAACAATTTAAAAAAAAAATAGTTTCTAACAAAATAGCTTCTTCTGTATTCCGAACCCTAATCTCAAAGTCTGTATAGTGAACACAATCTAGAAAGACAGTAGGTGGTTTCATGCTCACCTTACTCTGGAAAATAAAGTTTGAAATGAATACAGATAGTTCTTGACTTACAACAGTTCATTTAGTGACCATTCAAAGTTACAACATCACTGAAAAAAATGACATGTCCGTTTTTCACACTTACAAGGGTTGCAGCATCCCCATAGTCACATGATCAAAATTCAGGTGCTTTTGGCAACTGACTCGTATTTATGACAGTTGCAATGTCCCAGGGTCATGTGATCCTCTTGTGTCTTTCTTACAGGCAAAGTCAACGCAGAAGCTAGATTCGATTAACTTAATAACTACAGTGATTCACTGTTGCAAGAAAAGTCATAAAATGAAGCAAAATTCACTTAACAAATGTTTCACTTACGACCACAATTGATCCCAAAATTTATGTTGCTAAGTCGAGGATTGCCTATACAGATTGTTTGGGTTTTGTTTTGTGCTATCCAGCACATTTTAGGGGAATGCTCATCTACGAAATCTAATGGCAGATCACTTAATGTTCGTAGACTTACCTACACTCAGAAGTTCTTATGTTTTGAGTATGCAAAGTAGGACAGGACTTGTGTGAAATAAAAGGTTGTGAATATCTGTCCAAAGTCAGTGCTTCTCTCTTGTACCACCACTTTGAAAAAGGAATGCACACACTAGGCTTAAAATGCTGGTTGTTTTCAAGGAGGAGAAATCAGAAAACCATGTGGTAGAAATAGTATCATTTTATTATAAGCCTCATTTTTATAAATCATACTTCAGTGCTTTTGACTCTAGGTTGCTGAAAAGATCTGTTCACTCAGAGAGGTATCAGTACTGTCATTGGGATTTGGGAGGTTTCAGAAACAAAAAATAATTTTAAAAGGAAAAATTGAGGAGAAAGGATATCACTAAAAGAGGCCAGTGAGGACTGAGCATTCTCATTTGGTATAAGCTAGACTGATTAAAGGAAAGGGGGGGAAAGTGGTGACTGATGAATGTAATGGACACTTTTGAATCCTGAATAGAAGTATACTGCATTACATTTGCCTTCTAGAATTCTGATAATTTAAAATTGGCTAAAGTATTTGATTTATAAGAAGGGTTATTAATCCCCTGGCTATTAATTGATTAAGATACAGTACATCTTACATCTTTGGTCAAGTGCAGGGGTGTCAAACTTGCAGCCCATGGCCCGGATGCATCACACACTGGCCACACCTGGTTTAGTGGGAGAAAAACCCGCAATACATCACATGACAATGTGAGTTTGACACTCCTGGTCTAGTGCATAAGGCATCAAGCTAGAAAGCAGGAGTTTGATTTCCACCTTAGTTATGAAACCCAGCTGAGTGACTTTGGGCCAGTCATTCTCTTTTAGCCCACTCCACTTCACAGGGTTTCTGAAGTGGGGAAAATAGCAGGAGAATGGTGTGTTACATATGTTTGCTGCCTTGAGTTATTGGTAAAATAATAAAGCTGGGATAGAAATAAAAAAAAAAAAATATGTTTTACTACTTTCTTAGTTCTAAAATATTTGTGTTGGAGTTTTAGTTGCTTTAAGCAGTACGGAAAAGGGTTCCTAAATTTCCTAAAAGAAAAACATTCCTTAAGATTGTGTATATAAAAAAATAGGAATGTTTATTTTTGTCTTCTGCCAGCTTTCTAATTTTAATTAATTTATATAGCCTCAATCATTATCAGATATTTAGAGGTCAGGATCCTCTGAAAATGGCGCCCTGAGTGACTGGAAGCTTTTTTTTTTCTCTCTCCCCTGCTGACTAATAGTAGATTTTGCTGCAAAAACTGGTTTTTTGGCAGCATGCTGCCCAGATTTTAATGGGGAGCAACTAGGAACAACCCTAGATGACTTTCGGATGATGCAATTACTTACCTGTAATGAGAAATCTTAGTGGTTGAAGTTCATGGTCAGAATGGCGAGAGAGTGGAGTCCCCATCTTTTCCTATCACTTGTTCAGATTCTTAAGCTGCATCTTTGCTTTAACATCACTTTTTGAAACTCTTTTCTTTTGATTCTGACTTACATTTTAAATGCTTAACATCTGATTGAATGCTGAACTGCCTTGCTGGATTATAAACATAATTTTTAAAACTATTTTTACTTTTTTGGGAGGGAGTAACAAAATACTTTCGCTTTTGCCATATGGAATTTGATGGGGTGAAGATTTCTTCTTTTCTAGTGATTGCAATCTGATGAACTCTGGATTCTTGCAGTAAGGAATTTGTATTTTACCAGTTTTTATAAGAACTTTGCTGTTTTACTGTACTTTATTTCTGAATATTTCTCTGGTTGTTTTTTTTAAGAGAGGAACTTTTCCCTTTGTCTCTTCTATTCATTCTCTATGGTGGGAAAAATTATTTCAGTCCTTCCTGCGGTTAGCCAGTGATGGAACAGACCATCCTTAAGAGGAAATGCCTATGTTCTTGGACTACATTAAAAATGAAAATAACAAAAGCCTTCTTGAAAGCCTTCAAAATAAGAATGCTTTTTAACTTATAAGCTGTCTTTGAAAATTTAGATAATAGGTTTAATAGCAACAACTATTTGTTGCTGTTTAATGTAGCAACAATTATAAATCAACTTAAAAGAGGATACTCAGGTGTAGTCAATCCAATGGATTGGAAATTAATTTGTTGCTGATAGGGTTGGAGGAACTTTGTTGGAAACAAAAGTTTGGTGAGGAAGTCTGAATGGGTGATGAATCCAGTCATGGTGGTTCAGTAATGAATTGGACTTTCTTAAGAAAATTCATGGACTTTTAAAAAAAAGCATGCTGTGAAAATATTTACAACAGAGATCTATAACTTTGGGGAATGAAATGAAATTATATGGAAATACCCTACTTATAATTTTAAGGAAAAGTTATATTATCAGGAATCATTCAAGGATATTTGATCATGGGCAGATCAGAAACAATGACTGTAATGGATAAGCCTGAAATTGAAGCAGTTGCAGACTTTAAATAGAATGATAGATTGTTAACAGAGTGGTTTTGAAGTTTGGCGTTGGGCTTACCTATGAACTTTTTTTTTTTTTTACTGTAGATAAATGGTAGGTGAAATTGCTAGGGTAAATAGCTTATATATTGTAGACTATTTCGCAAGGAGGGAAAACTGTTAGTGTTGAAATATATTTATTAATATTTAACCAGGGTGGGTGGGTTGATTTTTATTCTTTTTTTTCTTTAATGCACTTTTTTGTTTGCTTTTTGTTCTGTTCTGTTCTACTTTGTATTTTTAAATTTTACGTAAAAAATAAGATATTTGGAAGTTGTAAATTTCTAAGATTAAATTTATCTTAATTATAGTAACCAGACTTTACATTTATGTTAAAAAAGAATTTTCATGGTTTTCCAAAGTACTATTTGTAGTTCTTTATATAGCTGGTCCTCAACTTACTATCACAATTGAAGGCAACATTTATGTTGCTAAGCAAAGCAGTTAATGATTTTTGCCCCATTTTATGACTTTTTTGCCATAGTTGTTAAGTGAATCATGTGATTGTTAAGTGAATCTGGCTTCCCTCATTGACTTTGCTGGTTGGAAACCAGATGGAAAGGTCACAAATGCTGATCACATGGCCCTGGAACAGTACAGCTGTTTTAAAAATATGCCAATTGCCATGCAACTGAATTTTGATCATGTGACCATGGGGTTGTAAATGTGAGAACTTGCCATAAATCACTTTTTTCAGTGCCATCGTAACTTTAAACAGTCATTAAACAAATGGTTGTAAGTTGACAACAATCTATAGCACAGGTGTCAAATTTATGTCACATTGTTGTCATGTGATGTATCGTGACTCCCCCCCCTTTCGCTAAACGGGTTGTGCATGGCCAGCATGTGACACATCTGGCCCGCAGGCCATGAGTTTGACACCCCTGATCTATAGTGTGCTTATTCGTCATAAATTTTAAATATTTTTAAAAACTCTTGAATGTTTTTTTTTAATTTGATGGTAGGGTGATTGTCCAGAGATTAGCTTTATCACATGATCGGATTTCTAGTGTCAGTTCTTGTAATAAAGTCCATTGCAGTTATTTTTAAATTATTTTTTCACATCAGTTTTTCCTCAGCTATTTTGACATTTAGAAAATTTTTCCTGTATGCAGCATATGTTACTGTATGGTGCTGAATAAATAATATTTCAGCTAAATAAAACAGTAGTCTCCAGGATAATTGGAGCAGTAGGTGTGTGCAATTATGCCTAGAGAGATTTTATATCTAACTGTATATGGAAAAATATGAATATTTTTAATTCTAGTAATTTTGACTTAGATCATTTAATATCTGAAAGAAAATTGAAGATACTTGAATGGAAGATTCTAAACATTATGCTTGTTCTAGCTATGGAGTAATGAATGTTTGCTGGGTGACTTGTGCATGAGCTTATTTTTAGTCAGACAGTAATTTGGGTTCTTATATGTCAGGGGACTGTTGTAATAGATGGAACACAAGTTTAAAATTGTGAAGTTAATCAGTGGATGATATCAGTATTACCTATTTATAGATCTTTCCTTTCAATATATAACCACCAGCAGCATCTTTTCCTGCTGTCTGAAGTTTGACTAAACTATTGGGCTGTAATCTATTTTGAATCATGGTAAGGTTTTTCTCTAGTATATAAATTAACATAAAATCCAGATATGTGATTTTAAAAAGTGTTTTAATTTTTAAATAGCTTTTAATATTTATTTTCTAATTCAGTTAGAAATTCAGCACTTTGATTTAACAGCAAAGGAATCAAAACATATTTTAGTGGGCTGCTGAAAACAGATTGATCTTCATTTATGAACTTGTTTTCAGTGGAAGGGTGAGCATTCCCAAATCTATACAGTTATAAGTTATCGGGTCTGTTAAATTGCAGTCTCTCTCCTGCTTTCTCAAAGTGTAAATAAAACAAGAATGTCACAGGGTATGTAAGTCTGAAGTTCAGGGAGTAACGTGTCATTTAAATTTGATTTTTAAATATTTGAATACAACCTGTTGGCTTTTTCTTCACACTATTTTTGTTTTCCTATCATGCTTTTACAGTGAAGAGTTCTCCGTTTAGAACAAATTGTAACTGTGGTGGTGATGAATTGTTAAATTAAGCTAAACAGCCTTGAAGATAGATAGATTGTTGCTTCTTTTCTCTACTGTTCCTTACTTCAGTGACTTTTTTTGTCTCCTAGAGTCTAGCAGCCAACATGTCAAGCAAAAGAGCAAAGACAAAGACCACTAAGAAGCGCCCTCAGCGTGCTACGTCCAATGTATTTGCTATGTTTGATCAGTCACAGATACAAGAATTTAAAGAGGCATTCAATATGATTGATCAAAACAGAGATGGTTTTATTGACAAAGAAGATCTGCATGATATGCTTGCTTCACTTGGTAATCACTTTTTCTATTTTACTTCAGTTATGTCTCTTCTAGCAAATTTGCTCCCCCGTTTAAGTGTAAGGAATGTTTATTTAATACTTTAGAGCTGCGCCTTGAAATATAACCCTCCAACTATTGATGTGGCTCAATTTTAAATGTTAATTGATTGTAGGGAAAAATCCAACTGATGAATATCTAGATGCCATGATGAATGAGGCTCCAGGACCCATAAACTTCACTATGTTTCTCACAATGTTTGGCGAAAAATTAAATGGTACTGATCCAGAAGATGTAATCAGGAATGCCTTTGCATGTTTTGATGAAGAAGCAACAGGTAAGAAGCTACAAAGTATCAGAAATAATTTCATAGCTTTTGACTACAAATATATAATCTTGGCTACTTATGTGTAAAATTATATACAAGTTCAAGGCAAAAGAATGAAACACCTTCCAACACAATGGCAAAATAGGTTGCTAAAAAGCAAAGCTGTGACATTTAATTTTTAAAACCTCAAAAATTAGGGATATTTTCTGCAAAGGAATGGTTTGGTATGGATTATTCTAAAAATGGAAACTTTTCTCATTTGGGGAATAAATCATTTGGTTTCACAATCAGAATTAGAAATTTCTGATCCTTGCTTCTCTGATATGTTCAACTGCTTGATAATGATACCACAGCATCATTCACACTTTATTATTTCCAGTAGCCTAGGCCATTTACTAAAATAGTTTTATTTAAGATCTTAGTCCTAACTTTAAATTTGTTGTCAGCTTTAAATTTGTTGTCAGCCATAACTGACATAATCAAATTCTGTAAGACTTCAGACTTCAGACTTGAATTCACAAAGTTTATTTAGAGTAGAAAAAATGCTATTTAGTAGCAATTATTTGCTAAATAACTACAATCATTTTATTTGTTCATGTAATCACTTATTTCCTAAAGTATAAATAACTGCTGAATCAGTAAAAATTTAAAAGCACTTAGAGCCCTTTGTTTCATTTTTGCATTTTTGTGTATAATACGTTATACTAAAATTTCTTGTATTAAAATTCTGTCTTGAAATCTTTTCACATTTCTAGGCTTCATTCAAGAAGACTACTTGAGAGAATTGTTGACAACAATGGGAGACAGATTTACAGATGAAGAAGTTGATGAGCTGTTCAGAGAGGCACCAATTGATAAAAAGGGCAATTTCAATTACATTGAGTTCACACGCATCCTGAAACATGGAGCAAAAGACAAAGATGACTAAAACAGAACTCTTGCTTCTGCATTGCTCTTTAGATCTCATGGTTATCTTCAAGGGGGATTTTTCCTGGTAGAACCTGTTGCATGCAGCTAGCTTTACAGCTTTTACCTATCTCGATGTATTTATCTATACAAGGCCATTCTGGCACACCTTGCACCAGTTTAATAAGGCCAGCAATGGAAATTGTAATTTTGGTGAATGTGGAGGTTGAGACCAATGAGTTTGAAGGCCCAGGAAAAATAATCTCTGTTTTTCTGGTTTAGCTGGATTTTTACATTTTGTAATAATGCCATTTTGAAATAAGATTGCTATATCAATAAAATACCTCAAATGCTAAATTGTGAAGTATAAGATTTTATTAAGAGTTGATAATCCAAACATCATGATTTCTCTAAAGAAGAATAGGAAAATGATCTTATGAAATACTAATATCACTGTATCACTACTTCATGTAGATTCAACTGTGTACCTATTGTACTTTTAATTTTTTTTCAGGATAAACATCCTGCACATATATTTGCTGAGTAGATTGGCCTAGAGAACCATGACATTACTACTTCCATGGATCTTCAGTTTTTATCTACCTTTGTTCAATTCATTATTCTTACGAAGCTTTCATTTTTTTATTTTTACATAGGTGAGAATTTATAGATCATTACTATTCTGGATTCATGAACATGAATCCAGAATACTATGAATATGAACATGAACACTTTTTCTCAGTGTGTCACTGGACAATAGAGTCAGAAAAAATGAACTAGGCGTTTAAAAAAGCATAATGCTTTGATTTCTTCCCTAGCTAGTTATAAGTGCTTCTGTTATACTGATCTTTTCCCTCCTTTTCAGTATCAGCAATAGCTCCTCTAAGCTTCTGCTTTTGAGAATTTTGGTATGTGCTGATGTCCAGCCAGGAATGGAGAAGCACCACTTATCTATTCTGTTTTATAACCTGCTTTAGAGTGCTGTTCTATCAACTAGAACAGGGGTGTCAAACTTACAGCATCACGTCATGTGATGTATTGTGACTTTTTTCCCCCTTTGCTAAAACAGAGGTGGACTTGGCCAGCGTGTGATGATCTGGTCCATGGGCCGTGAGTTTGACACCCCTGAGCCAGAATAATGCACACAAAAATAATTTCCATTTTTTTTTTCTAAGGACTGGTATCCATTTTAGTGACACCTTGGAACTTTTAATATTCACGCAACCTTTTAGTCACCAGGCTTGGCATTAAGTGTTGCCTATAAGTTGGCTAGAAATCACAACGCCTCAAATACTGTATGTAAGTTTATTGATAAATTGAAAAAATACAATTGAAAATATGTGGTATACTGGTTCTCATTTCTCATACTTGCCTCACCTAAATATATCTTAAATAACTCCAGGGTCCTTTTGCTGAAAAAAAAAAAAGCAGTGTAAATTTGGGAGATAGTGTAGCTATAAATTAAAAGAAATGGATAAATTATTTGGACTAACGGTTAAGATACTGGGATAGGAATGAAGAGACCTAAATTTTAGTCTACTATTGGCCATGGAAACTAGGTGACCTTTAGCCAGTCATTCTGAGTCCAGCCAACCTGCCAGGATCATCACTGAATAGAAAAATAAGAAGGAAGCATCAGGTATAGGATAGTACTCTTCAAATTGGAATATAGCAATACCATTAATCATGCTATCTCTGGCCACCCCTCAGTAATCTGATGGTGGCAGATCCTTTATTGCTTTTTCTACAGATTGTCAATCTCTTAAAAGTTTTTAAAATATTGAGAAGCTAATAGTGTGAAGCAGAGTTAATTCCTGATTTCAAGAATTTCTCACACTAGTATTTTTAAACTTGATAAATAAGGTATGCTCAGCTTCAGATCTGACTACAATATTATTTGGTTATTATAAGTTATCTCTATGATTACCAGATGTTAAATGCTGAAGAACAAGGTTCAAATTACACTTTTGCTCTGAAGTTTGAGTTGAGGTTTTCCTGTCATTTATAGAGATGGTTTATATGCAAAGCCCTGCATTGTGTTTTAAGAGCAGTGATACATATCATGGCGTACTTAAGATTAACACAAGTATTTGATCATAATTTTTTGCTTGTGAGATCCTAATTTGACAGTTGCATGATGTAAAAACAGACATCAAACAATAGATGCATCCCTGAGCACACAGAAGGCACAAAGAAAACAAATTTACAAAGCTCTTAATATTTGCAATACTACCTTTCAGGCCATCCAGATGAGAAGCTGGTATTCTTAAAGTTGGGCCATGTTAGACAGATATCTAAATACATTTTTCAGCGGCAGTATGATCTTGCATATCCAAACAATGTGGATTAAGGAAAACAGTCATTTTTCTTTCTAATGTTATCAGCTTCCCCAGAATTTTGGGTTCCTGTAGGAAAGAAAATGTGAATGCATGAAATGTATAAAATGTGCGGGGGGGGGGGGGGGGCTTTTATAGCCAATCTTATTTCCTAATGACATAGATATTACTTGATTCCAAGTACAAGCCTCTTTTAATACTTCATTGTTATGCAGCAGGTAACTGTGAAGGGTGGGAACAGAAACTGCATCTGAAAAATATCTCTTTTGGGAGATTTACAGCTTTATCACAAAAATTTGAAGTGGGCTGTTACCACTAAGAGAGACAACTGCCTCAAAATGATAAGCTTCATTGCAATTAAATTGGTGGATTGTCTTTGCTCAGGAGACGTTCCAGGAAAACACTGCTATTTTGTTGAAAAGCAGAGATTTCCTCGTTATTCCTTCCAAAATGGATCAAGTCTAAAATGTGTTAATATATCATACAGAATCTAAAATGTGTTAATATTATCATGCTGTTATTCCTCATAATTTGAGAGTGAAAATGAGGCCCAAATGACAGCAATCTCTGAGATCAGAAATGTTCTTTCATTTCCCTTAAAACTAAAATTTCCTATAGTTATTAATGTAATATAGAAAAAATGGCTATCTTCTTCCTGATCTGTCTAGAAATCCATCTAGTCTACATTTATTGGGTATTGAGTTTTATATATAACTTTAAACAGCCTGTTTCCTTGCAAAATTATTGTGCCATACCTTCTATAATTCCCAGCCAGTTAGGTGAGAGTTCTGGGAGGTATTGTTCAATGTATCTGGCAGTCATTGTAAGTGATAACCTAGCATGTTCACAAACAAAGCCTAACTTTCACAAGGTTGATAATCTGCAATCATTAGCCATCATCAAGCAGACAAAAGAAAACATACTTGCTTTGTAATTCCTTTACAGCTTCTATTCAATTTGGTTAGGCAAGTCAGGCCCTGACAACAGTGCAGGCAGACAAGTTGTGTAGGCATGCATGAAGGATTACATATGAATAGGCTGACAGAATAAAGAGAAGTTATTTTTGAAAAGGAAATGCATGCTTGTCAGCACAAGTTATGACAATCTGTTTTTGGATGAAAGGTTGTTAGTCTAAGTAAGAGTTTATTCATTCAGAATCATTCCACCAGGTGGCACTGTATAAATACAATGATGCCAGAGGCTTAAGGTTCTTTCTGTATTATCATCAAAATAGGTCTTGTTTTATTACTTTTCTCATCTGTATAGTTCTTTTTATATCAACTAAAGAACTGCTTAATTTGTATTTGAAAAATACATTTGTATTTGGAAAAAGAAAAACTTGTTAACTTGAATGTTGACCACATACAGTATTAATGCATACATTCCCTAGGCAGCTGTGAAAAATAATTTGGATCCATCAATCTAACCATCCTACAAGCTTTATGACGAACTTATCCTTAGCTTTGACTAAATATGTGCTTTGTTGGGAAGAATTCACTATAATATGTGCTGGGTTTCACCAGACAAAAATGTTTGTTTCTCCATATGAAGACTCATTGACTTCAGGAGTATGGGAAAATAATTAACATCTAAGAATTCCTTATTATCCAGGAATACTGTATTTTGCTAGACATGAGTAAAAAAAAAAGCTCATAATCTCAAATAGAATATTTTATTTCTGCAAATATCCAGTGTTATCACTTCTATTGTACCTGTTGGATGTAACAATAAAATGTAAATTTATAAAAATAAATCATAAATATCAGTAAAATGTAAACTACCAAATTTAGGACATATATAAAAAAGGTCCAGAGCTTTAATTGTTTTTTTGATCTTAGCTTTTTATTTTTTGAAAATTTTATTTGGGTTTTCACAAAAACAAAATACAAATAAAACATCTTTTTTGAAAATAGCATGGTCCCAGGTTATCACTTCTTCATACAGACACAAAACTCAATTTCATGCTCATTTTTATATTCTATTCCATATCTTATTACCATTTTATATTTTCTACATAATTTTTTCCCTTTTAATTTTCTCAACTTTGTTTTAATTTTCTCAATTCAAATCATTATATTTATACTTTTGTCTGTCCTGTTACAATTTCACATTATCTTTTCTTATTAAGCATTTTTTCCCCTGTAGTTACCAATTAGAGTATGACACCTTTATATCCTTTAATTGTACCCATTCAAGCTCTTACCCTGTTTCTCCAATAATACGGCCTCCCCCAATAGGAAGTCCCAGCATGTTTTATAGGCATGAAATGAAATTAAGCCCCTCCCCCCAAATTAAGGCCTATATTAAAACATGCGAAATGGGGGGGGGGATGGTGGGGGGCTTGCCATTAGGAAGTACTTTTGTTGCACATCCGGATATGGTGCTGCCTGCGTTGACCCCGATACGAAGTGCCCCACCAACGCCGAGGTCAACATCCAAGCCGTCGCCGCCTGCCTGCCCGAAGATGCAAGGGGGGGAATTAAGTCACCCCCGAAAAGACAGCCTAGCCATTTTTTCGGGGCTCAAAAAAAAAAAAAGACCTGGCCCTATTATATGAGAAACACGGTATTTAAGTTTCAATGTATAGCTTTAAGATTATAGCATTCAATATATTATATAACTTCCAATCGAATTCTGCTTGGTACATTCTTAAAATAGACACTATATTCTTAAAAAGAAAAATTATATATATATGTAAATAAAACACATTCCATTCCAATTCAATTCTATCATTAATATGCATTAAAATCTTAACATCTTTAACATTTCTTTTCAATTGAATATCATACTTCCTTGGGAACACTTATAAACTTTCCATAGTTAATTCTTTTTTTTCCATATTTCTCACTTATATTTTTATAAATCATTACTAATAATTAAAAATGTTTCCTTTTAATTCTCTCAATCATTTTAATTCACTTATTTATTAACAAACATCCCACTGCATTACAATAAATATTTTATCCATCATATTTTCTAAAATTATTTCTATTTGTAATATAACAAAGCTATCTTATGTACCTTTGCAGAATCCCTTTTACAATTAAATTTTCACCCATTATCAAACAAACAAACTTATGGTTACAATCCTTATATCTTTTCCCTGTTTCTCCATTTCTTGTTTCTGTCTTTTATAACTTCTTTTCCTTGCCTTCTTCCCCCTCTTCTTCTCCCTCCCCTTTTTACCCCCTTGTCTCTCTACTTCTAACTCTCTCATCTGTAATCCCCTCTTCTGTTGCTTTCTAATATTATACTTATCTTTCAAATTGTTCTTCTTTTTGGTTGTTTTTTCTAATCTTAAACCTTTCACTCTCTTTCCCCCCTTTTCTCCCCCCCCCACTTAAAATTATTTGATCATTAAAGATGGCTTCTTCTTTGTCCAATCTTCTTGTTCTGCAAGCGTTTCTTGTTGCTTCTCATA